GGTCATCACACATGCGGCTGTGCACTGTCTGCACAGGCTCACATCTATCCGTGTTTTGGCTTGAGTTTGTCTGATGGCTCACATCACGAACACATCAGGCAAGTGTTTGAGGGCTTGTTACAGCGTGGGATCTTGGCGGCATTTGTGTGGTAATGATGACACCGAAACAAACGTTACATGCCAACTATATTTGAATTTGCGTATTGCATCCTGGGGGTTTTCGCATTCGGGCCAACACGCTGCACCGGAAATTCGCTTCGACCTCACAGGTCCGGGGCACAGTTATGTCAATTAAATGCTGGGGTGAAACTATAACGTACCGGGTGTTTTGTTAATCTGGTCCGGAGCTAGGAGCGACTGCACTCAAGTGCTGACGTACAACCGGTACGCTGAATTGATAACTGTCCAATGGCGCAAATTGCTTCGCCGGCAGGGCTGAGATGAGACACAGACGACACATGTGTACCTACGGTCGCAGAGCATACCGAGCCGTTCGGCTGTGAGAAGTGAACGTTAGCCAGATACCACAGCCGCAATGAAAGCGTCATGCCTCGACCGCATGGCGAGATCTAGGGAATGCACGCCGTTCAGCTGTGATAACTGGAGTTGAGCCGGACACCACATAGCCGCACCGAAGGTGTCACGCTTCGATCGATCGGTAGTCGGCCTTCACGCTTGTGAAGAGCCAGCAAAAGAGATTCCTGCGAAGTGTGTCGCTGTGCTAGCAACTGAGAAAAACAGCCTGGCCGTATGTGATGACCGGTCGAGGGGCGCCATTGTGCTATCGCCACAAAAGCTGTTGTCGCCTCATGACTGGCTTCCAACAAACCCGTAAGCTTTAATTAGGCTGCTTTCACTGCTAAAGGGAATCATACTGTTGTTCGCTTTACCGTTTCGATCGCGCGTGTGTTACAGCTGAAAATTCACCCTTCATGGGTGCATAAAAACGATTTCTTGACTTGACTTGACGTGACAATGCCCCGACGCACTGGTGGCACCATTGGACAACACACCAATTTAGTCATGGATGCAACTATTGCCTTCATAATCAGACAATTGCTAGTTGTACAAATTGATCAGGCCTTTGATGGTGTTTCTCGTGTGCAATGGAGAATATACATTTATTAATTTCTTTACTTATATTTACATGGAATATTTGAAATGTCAATAAATGTCAACGAATTAGATGTTTGCAACATCAAACAAAGCGGACGGCCTCACACCGTCATGGATGAAGTAGCAGCTTGATCGGTTCCGCATGAGGTACGCAGTAACAGCCATCTCAACATTCGACAACTCGCACAACATTGCGAAACCACACCGTATGCTGTGCATCGGATATTGAAGGGAAAAATATTCCGGTGGTACAGTGCACTAGAGGTGCAAGTGTTGGGCGCATGCGATTCACAGAAGCGCCTGGAATTCGCCCGTTTGTTTTTAAACAGTCTGGACATGCATACTATTTTGTTCACCGATGAGGCGATGTTCCCTCTGCATGGCGAAGATACGAAACATGTTTGGGCAACGACCAAACCACGGCAATGTAGCGCTTCACTTGTGCAACCTAGCGCGAAGCTCATGGCCTGGGCTGGGTTGACTGGTCAAAAAATCAGTGGACCCTTTTTCTTTTCCAGGACTGTGTCCAGTAGGTTGTCGTTTAACCGTACCCATGTCTGACATTTCTTAGCATCCTCGTACATGGAAATGTTGCAGAGCAGCGTCGTTCCCCAGCTACAGTCGGAAGGGTTAATGAATAACGTTTGGTGACAGCAGAATGGCGCACTTGCACATTCGCCGCAATCGGTTCGTGCCTACATGAACGAGACATTCGGTGGACGTTGGATCGATCGCGGAAGACCGATAGAATGACTTGCACGATCACCGGACCTGAATCCCATGGATTTTTTCCATTGGTGATACTTGAAGCGCAAAGTTTATAGAACGAAACCCAAAAACTTGACTGAACTGAAAGAGAACATTATGAACGAATGTAGGCAGATTTTGTTGGAGACATTGCAGAAAGTGCTCGCGAACACCATCCGGCGAATGCGTCTCTGTAGCCAAGACGGCTGAGGGCACTTCGAACATCTTATTCGTTGATATTTACAGACGTTTCACGTATACCATGTAAAAATAAGTAAAGAAATGAATAAATGTATATTCCCGATTGTACATGGGGAACACCATCGAATGCCTGATCAATTTGTACAACTAGCAATTGTCTGACTATGAGGGCAATAGTTGCACCCATGACAAAATTGGTGTGCTGCCCAATGGTGCCACCAGTGCGTCGGAGCAGACCGAAATCTAAGAGCATTGTCACGTCAAGTCAAGAAACCGCTTTTATGCACCCATGAAGGGTGAATTTTCAGCTGTAACACACACGTGATCGAAACGGTAAAGTGAACAACAGTATGATTCCATTTAGCAGTGAAAGCAGCCTAATTAAAGCTTACGGGTTTGTTGGTTGCCAGTCATGAGGCGACAACAGCTTTTGTGGCGATAGCACAATGGCGCCCCTCGACCGGTCATCACATACGGCCAGGCTGTTTTTCTCAGTTGCTAGCACAGCGACACACTTCGCAGGAATCTCTTTTGCTGGCTCTTCACAAGCGTGAAGGCCGACTACCGATCGATCGAAGCATGACACCTTCGGTGCGGCTATGTGGTGTTCGGCTCAACTCCAGTTCTCACAGCTGAACGGCGTGCATTCCCTAGATCTTGCCATGCGGTCGAGGCATGACGCTTTCATTGCGGCTGTGGTATCTGGCTAACGTTCACTTCTCACAGCCGAACGGCTCGGTATGCTCTGCGACCGTAGGTACACATGTGTCGTCTGTGTCTCATCTCAGCCCTGCCGGCGAAGCAATTTGCGCCATTGGACAGTTATCAATTCAGCGTACCGGTTGTACGTCAGCACTTGAGTGCAGTCGCTCCTAGCTCCGGACCAGATTAACAAAGCACCCGGTAGCATTCGTAAGGGGTCCTACAAGGTGCTACACTGCCTTGTTATCATTTCTCGAGAGGCAGTACCTTATCCACGCCTAGCGCTTTTGGATGTTCCGCCCTCTCTGGAGCGTTCGCAGTGCTAGGTCTGTGGTTTGCTCAAGAAACGTGTGTGTATTTTTCTGGATGGATCGAATTCAAGAACTATTTCACAGATTCATTGCTCGTTCCTTCTGCCTAGCGGACTATTCTCACTATCGAATCTGTCCCGGTGGTGTCAAGGTGCTTGTGACATACTTTGAATACATGCTCGGCAAGAGTATGGTGAGTGGCATGTGATTTTTTCAGGGTACCCTTGACGGTTGCGTGATAATCTGGCACATTGCATGATGGAATACTTCCCGTGCCAGAGTACTGGTTAGAAGCAGCAAGTAGGGTTTGCTCTGTGTAGCTGCATCAGTCGTCACTTATGAACAAATACCCGTTATGTTGTGTTCCGCTCCATATATTTTGTGTCGGTAAAGTGTTTGTCCAAGAACTTCTTAAATTCCGACACTGACTTTGTCTCAACTACGTGCTGCTGTAGGTCGTTCCATACATTCACCACTCTGCGTTCGAAAGAGTTGGTGAGCGACCCGTTTCAAATCCGGTACGACAAGCTTATACCGGTGTCCTCGTGTGCTGCTTGGTGTGTGCAGATGAAGCAGTGGTCTCAACATAGGCTAATCACCCAGATGTAATATCCGGTGCGTCACGATGAGGTCAACCCTCAGTCGACAATAAGCTAGGGTGTACAGCCCTAGTTTCTTACACCGGTCATCGTACGGCACACCTCGTAAGTTGGGAATCAGCCTAGTGGCTACATGCTGCACTCGCTCAATCTTTTCAACCTCGCCCCGGGTGTTAGGACAATACGCGGGAGAGCCATACTCTAGCATTGGTCGTATTATTGAGACGAAAAGGCGAGAGGCAATCTCTTCGGACCAAGTGCTGAAGCTGCGCCTGAGCGCCCAAAGCATACGATGGCTGTTTTGGTACAGCCTATTCGTGTTGTCCATGGACCTTAGGTCGCTGCGTGAGAGTACACCGAGGTCGCTCACGAAGGGCGGGGGATGCAATGGTTGACCAGCCACCGTGTAGGTTCGACTGTGCTCACACTTACCCAGCCTCATGAATTGCGACTTGACCAGGTTGATCGGAAGATTAACCTGTGCAGACCACGTGGAGAGGCGGTCAAGGTCCTGCTGAAGCAAATCCCAATCATTGGGTGCGCGGATTCCTCTCCACACCTTCAAGTCATATGTGAACAACGCACAAGGTGCTTGGAGTAGCTGAGGCACATGGAGCAGAAACAAAATCGGCTCCAGTACAGTGCCTTACGGCACGCCGCTGCTCAATGGATACAAGTCGGTTAAATGGTTGTCCATCTGGACCCTCCACTTTCGATCAACAAGGAAATTCCTGATCCATTGGTGCAGCGAACCACCAACACCGCACATTCTCAGCCTGTCGAGGAGCACTGCATGATTTACCTTGTCAAAAGCCTTACTGTAGTCAATGTAAATGACGTCGACTGATTCGCCTTGGTTCAGCGCTTGTAACCATTCGTACCTCGTCAACAATAGGTTGGTGATGCACGAGCGACCTTTCACGAAACCATGCTGTGTGGGCGCAGATGCCAGAGGGCATCATACTCTAGTCAGCACAGTAGATGGCTGATTTGGTTTGGCAAGTTTGTGCATGTTGAACCACTCTGTATCAAGGTTGGAAATAACTGTCCTAATCCACACGAATACAGAATGCGAATCAACACTGGTCTTACGTTTTGCTGTGTCATTAATAGCCAATTTCATTGCTGTTCGTTTTCTTCCGAAGTGTATCAGTCTTGCTTGATCACCATGTGACACGTCTAAGCCAACCGCATCAGCAATCGTTCGCTCTGAAGATGGCCATCACTTTCTGCCAGTTGAAAGATATGATCCTTGTTTTCCGTTCTTCGTATACTGGTTGTGCTGATCACTATGTCTACAGTCATTTGTTTCACGTTCACTTAGTCGCGTCTTCATGTCCCCGAATTACGGGTCAATTGTTGCATGGTGCTGTCCATGGGGAACCTCCGTACGTTGGTCGCCAAGCTCATCACTTGCACCGGAATCGGTTTCAACAAGTGGCTGAAGTCAGTTGCGAGTGCATGTGAACGTGGAAGTAGATCGCTTCTTGCTGCCACCGTGAATGGTTTTCAAGCTAAACAAATTGCAGTTCTTGTGATTGCTCTTGTTAGCACTGTATTGTTTTGAGCGAGTTTCCATGACGTAAATTAAGTTTATACGATAGCTGTATTCTGGTTGCACGTCTTAGCCCCTTGTCGATGATTCCGCGCTAGTTGTTGCATAATAGCGGTTTAGGTCATGATGAAAAGACTACTGTTTTTACGTGTGCACAACTCTCATGGCATAGATGACAAGACCGAAGGCATCAAGGACAGCCGCCATGAATATCGCCGAACCGTTATCTCGGTTCTTCCAACGAATCCTTGAGGAAATGTAGTTTCCCACCATGTGGAGACAGGCAATACTCACTATTATTTGCAAGAGTGGGAATCGTTCGGAACATTCCAATTACCGTCAAATCACCCGCTTCCCAGTGTTATCCAAAGTTATGAAAGGAATAATTGCAGTGGCGCTCATCGGATACATTGAGAGCAACACCATCGCAGTTTCACAGCAGCATGGATTCCGCCGAAATCGTTCCTGCACTATGAACCTGTTACTAGCCCGAGCAAGCTGGACGAAGTCATTCGATTCCAGTCAAGGAGTAAACGTCTTATGCCTGGACTTCCCGAAAGTATTCGATTGCCTGGACTATCATATTCTCCTTCACAAACTTCGAAGCTATGGAATCGGTGACGCTGTTCTAGGTTGGACAAGAAACTTCCTCATTCAGAGTCAGCTGAATGTGAGAGTCCTCAGATCCATCTTCAATCCAATTGAAACCCAGTGTGGTGTGCCCCAAGGATCGGCATTGGGACCACTTCTGTTTCTAGTATTCATCAACCATCTCGCTAGGATGCTTGAGTCAGACTTCCTACTATTTGCACACGACCTCACCATCTGACATGAGATCAAGACAGTGAGCGACTACGAGGCACTACAAAGAGATCCCGACAGAGCCTATATATGTCTTCCGAAAACCGGATCCAGTTTAACCTGGCGAAATACAAAGTTCTGAGCATACTTCGTCAGTGTACTCACGAATATCGATTGGGAGAGCAGCTGCTACAACATGCTACTCAGGAAAGCGACCTCGGCGCAATCGTGCAGGACGACCTTGTCTGCTCGAAACAGGCGGAGAAGGCATCGCCAAGAACCAGTCAGCACCTTAGCCTCCTACGGAAGGCGTTTAGGAGGTTCGAGCCATCTGTGAGGTCTGGCGGTCCTGGTGCACATACAATGTTAATGCGTTTGAAACTCCACAACGTAGGGCGACGAAAGTCCTTAGAGGAATGTTTTCCCTTCTGCACCTAGCCTTGTACAGTGGTGAATATTGGCGCCTGCAAGATATTATCATGGTGTACCAAATACTGGTGAATCTCAATCACGCTTGTTGCGATCTGTTGCAAATCAGCCAAAATACTAGCCTTAGAGGCCTCCGGCTCAAACTAGTAATTTACTACAGTCGAATTGATTGTGGATAAAACTTTTTCTTCCTTCGGGAATCCCGAACCTGGAGCGGCCATCCAACTCACGTGATTTTTGACCGGACAGTAACGCTTTTCCAAAAACGATTTAACGGAACTCTATCCCATTTACACAACATAGCATAGTCCGTTTCAATCGAAAGAGGTAATAACGCAGACCAAACAGTGGGCTTACCAGCTCTCCGTAACGCAGCGGTGAACCGACCAGCATGTTTCCATGTAAACAACTTGGTGAGTCGCCTTAGACTCGAATTTTCATTTTTTCCTATTATTTTAAACTTTGGTTTTATATATAGAGGAGTCAAGGATGTGTTGGGCAATGGAGGTTGCCGGCAGCTTGGGACCGGCAGGCTCCATTGCCCAACATATCCTAGACTGCTCCATATGTCAAAATCCCCTTGAATCGTTCAGGATAATTAACCGACAGAGCAATCCTTGGCTTTATAATTCTCGCTCCGGTCATTCTACGGGAATTGCCAATTATTCGCATTTTTACCAGTTCTAACTAATTCTTCATTGTTAACCATAATTTGCATGGTGCAATCGGTTGGTTGCCGTAACACGAGTTTTCTACCGGGGATCCGTGGTGCAGCAACCTATGAACAATAAGGATTTCCATTCGCTGCAGTGAATGCTTTCGCCTGGTACATCCCGCAGTCCCAGTGGTGCTTAATTGGCTCATCAATTATGCCGCTGTGCATGCTCCCGTATAACTGCGCAACTGCGAGCGGACAGTGACTAAACGGCCTGTTGTATGTCTCCTGGGTATGGTACTGCTTTCCGCAACATACACTATCAAACGAAGTGATTCCTCTAACGACAATTATTCTCTGGAACGCTATCACTGATTATCTAATACGTCCAGATTCTATCGCATCCACCAATCTGTTCTTTCTCTGTGCTCTATGAACAACTATATATGGGGCTGCGTGGGGTCCCAATTTTCACGGATACAATCTTCGAGATGAAGTTCCGGTGTCTATACCGTATTATTTATCGCTCAACTGCAACTCTGGATGGACATGCTTAATGGGTTCTGCAACGACACAATTGATCACCACCTCGCCAAGACTAATCCGTGTCACTTGACGTTGTGTGGATGCGATATGTCTACAATTGTTCCATGCACAAAATCGTCGATAATTCGCCTACTTGTCCTCACATGGTGTCAGACAAATTGTGCGACTTATCCGACCAATCAGCAGGCGAATCTATTCCACTTGAATCGAGCCTATGCATTAAATCGTACGGAGCACAGGTGGTGGTTGCCGGAAATTCACATCTGTTTCTGCAGCACATTGGATGTTATTTTGTTCTCAGTGGCTATGACCGAGTGGGCTTCCTATAATCTTATCTCGATTGCCAGAAGCCAAGCCACCAGATAATGCTGTCTTGGTGAATCGCACACAAGACAAACGTGTGAAAAACTCCGATACCAGTCAATCACAGTTGGGTGCGCGTTCGATTTCATGTGATCTCGAAAGACCGACGGATGTGTGTGTAGTGCGAAACAAGCGACA